CAAAACATCCACGAAACAAAGAAAGGTCTGTCACAGCCAAAAAATACACTCCAGACACGCCGCTGGCACTAGAGGCACAGCATATATATATATATGTATATATATGTATATACACAGGGTTCCCAGCCCGTACGTACGGAGGTCCCGTATGGGATCCGAGTCCGACGATGTTCAGCCCCCGCCAAAATTCATTTTGGGGCCTAAAAATACTAATTTTTTTTTTTTCTGAATTTCTTTATGTCGTTTCTCTATGATGTGAGGTACACATCTGTAAATTTTCAAGTCATTTGGCTTCGCGAAATGAGAATTAAAAATCGCCAAAGATGGCAGTGTCAAAACGTGCTTGGCCATGTTTTTTTTCACTTTTCACTTTTGAAACTTTTTTAGTGTGTTTTGCATTATGTGAAGTACACATATCTAAATTTTCTGGGCATTTAGCTATTCAAAAAAAAAAAAAAAATTCGCCAAAGATGGCGGTGTCGAAAACGTGGTCGCGAACTCACTATTTTTTTATTTTTTTTTTATTTTTTTCGTAACTTGTTTTTATTTCAAATTTGGCAAGGAATTTGGATGTAATGCTCAGGCAAATATTGTACTTTATTTGTCTTTATAAGATATCTTTTGTTCAGATTTTTGTGATGACTTTTTTTTTTTTTTTTTTTTTTTTTTTTTTTGGGTCCGCGTTCAGTTCGAACGGCCGAACGCATCCCCAAGTGGTCCCATACGTTCGGGCGTTCGGGTTCGGGCGTTCGGGTTCGGGCGTTCGGCCCGGCCCGTCCCGCGTCCCGGAGTGTTTTCATTCTTATATAACCATGAATGTATATATATATATATATCGTCACAATCAGAACTGTCCGGTAAACTGTAGGCAAAGAGAGAGAAGAGGACAACAAACGAGGGGCTGTGACAACTTTTTACTTTTATTATTTAATTTTTTGTTTTTTTTTGCCCGCCCGACCAAGTCAACCCGGGCCTCTCTGGTAGCCGACGCACATTGCCCATTTCGTTCACCAACTCCTATGTTTGCACATTCGGCTTTTCGCAATTATATTTTGTTGGTTGTTTTTCATTTCTTTTTTTTTTCACAGACTACTGCAAACAAAAGTTTGCGGTCGCTTTTCTCCCCTTCTTTATCCGATTTTGTCGTGTTTTTTTTTTTTTTTTGTTCCTTCCGTAGTTATGATTT